GACTGCCTCGTTGGCCGAGTATTCGCAAGTGCGACTGCCGGGCAAGGGGTCTCGGGTTCGATTCCCGGGTCGGGCAAAGTATTACTGGGTTTTTTAAAATTCTCAGTAGTAGCACGGAGTCTGGAAATGTGCCCGGTATATGGCAATAGGCTCACCCCCTATTACATGGGACTCATAACAACTAGTGAAAAGTGGGTGTTACATTGTACTGTGGTAGAATGTGTACCTCTGCCTACCCCTTCGGGGATAAAAGGCGTGATGTTATGTTATGTTACCTCGTTGACCCAGTACTCGCAAGTGCGACTGCCGGGCAAGGGCTCACATAACATCATAATATCACGCCTTTTATCCCTGAAGGGGTAGGCAGAGGTGCACACAGAAGTACCACCCACTTTTCACTATTTATGTTATGAGTCCCATTTAATAGGAGGTGAGTCTATTGTCATATACCGAGCCCCAGACTCCGTGCTACTACTACATATTTGAGTACAACTTAAAATTGAGTAGTCTTTCAGTATTCGGGTGTAAATTAACTAAAAATCGCGGGTTACTCACGTGAATATACTGACGTTTTTTTGAATCATATATATCCTCATCACCAGTACAAATGAACGTATTGTCTAATCTAATGTATTATATCTTTCGTGAGACATACTAAATAAATTATTGTTTTCGGCTTACTCACGTAATTATTTGACGAGGAACTTGAGTAGTTTCAAGCCATGCTAGGGGCTCATAGAGCGCGGTATGTAAGACGGTTTTTGCGTCGACCCGTTTCGAAGCCAACACCAACGCAGCTGCCGGCGGGCGAGTGGAGCGTGCCGACAGTGCCACGCGCCGCCGCCGATACCGCGAGTGGCGCACAGTGCGCGGGGACCGCCAGGGGGCGCGCCGGACACACTCCAGTACCAGTAGCAGCGACAGTCGCCGCGTGGCGGGCCGCGGAATGCTCCTCATGAATATGAGCCTCTAGCATGGCTTGAAACTAGTATTATCTAATGATCCCAAACTCGATATGTTTACTAGTAGTCAGTCCAAGGTTCCATCATCAGACCAGCTCGATGGCACTATAATATTATACAGTCATGACCTTCTAAATCTCACGGCTGCGTAAAGGCCTCTTCTCACACAGAGAAGGTTTGACCTTGAATCGCCGCGCTTGCACAATGCAAATTGGCGATTTTACAAACTTATAATTAGAAATTATAAGCCCAGAAGGCTTACTCTTGAATCCAATTCCGATCGATCGACATTGGTATTGTGAAATTTCGTACTCTCGAGTTGCAACACTAGCGCCCATTGCATCCGTATTGCGTTCATATTTAATGAACTAAATGGTATTGAGTTTGTCTTTATATTCTGAATGCTATTGTAACAGCTACGATTGTAGTTGTATAGTGTTGACATTGAATAATTATTGAGATTTTATTGAATTGAAATTGTATTGAAATTGAGATTGGTTTCAAGAGTAAGCACCCAGATTGCCGGTCGGTGTTTCCTTTGAAAAAATCATATTAAACTGTCAAACACCGCGAGGACACCGGTGACCGCAACCTATTGTTCTATAATCGTGTCTACAAAACCGGTACTCGACGAGTTAAAATGTCAATGACATATTGTTACAGGTGCGCAATCAGCCCGAAGTTCTCCTACGGGGTCGTCTGTACAGTCCACCAGCAGTGGGGGCGGCGGGGTCGGTGGGGTCGGCGGGGTCGGCCCGCTGCCCCCCGGGGCTGGGTCCGCCACCCCGCCCGCCGATGACCGACGGTTCGGCCCTATAGGGGCTAGACATGCGCATCCAGGTATGTAGCTAATGTACTTATTGTTGCATTATAATATTAACTATAATTTAAAATACTTTGAATTTTCGTCTACAAAAAAGTTAAAATTTCATCTTCTTTTATCCCCGAAGGGGTTGGCAGAGGTGCACAATAAGGCACATAATGCGACTGTACAATGTAACACCCACTTTTCACTATTTATGTTATGAGTCCCATGTAATAGGGGGTGAGCCTATCGCCATATACCGGGCACAGTTCCAGACTCCGTGCTACTAATGAGATTTCATTTAAAAACCAGTAGTACTTCGCTCGAATCGGGAATCGACCTCTTGCCCGGCAGTCGCACTTGCGACCATTCGGCCAACGAGGCAGTCAAGTGTTAATCCCAACTAATATCATAATTGCGAAGTCTTTCGTTCACGCGTTTAGGTGTGAACGAAAGACTTCGCAATTAATATTATTAATAATTAATATTATTAATACTGAACCGATTTATGTGAAATTTGGTACAGACATGCTCAGGCTCTGTGCTACTACTGAGAATTTATAAAAATCCCAGTAATACTTCCCGACCCGGGAATCGAACCCGAGACCCCTTGCCCAGCTGTAGTACTTGCGACCACTGTTTATTTACTTTATTATTACTTTGTATGATATATCTTTATTTTCATTTGTTTTTTTACGACTGCCTCGTTGGCCGAGTGGTCGCAAGTGCGAGTGCCGGACAAGGGGTCTCGGGTTCGATTCCCGGGTCGGGCAAAGTACTACTGTGTAATTATAAATTCTCAGTAGTAGCACGGAGTCTGGAACTGTGCCCGGTATATGGCAATAGGCTCACCCCCTATTACATGGGACTCGTAACATAAATAGTGAAAAGTGGGTGTTACATTGTACCTACAGTGGCATAATGTGCACCTCTGCCTACCCCTTCGGGGATAAAAGGCGTGATGTTATGTTTGTTTTTTTTATAATCTTTGTATCTGTGTGCCTACACTCAAATAAATGCTTTTTTCTTTCATTCTTTCTTTCAAAAATATGTTTCTTATGTTCCAGAATCCAGCGTATTCCTCCCCGACTCCAGCATAACGAATCTATCTTCACTTGAAGTGTCCGAACGGGAAATCGAATCGTTCAAACGTTTTGACTTCTACTTCGAGCCGCCGCAACACAAGCCCAAAGTTCAACTCGATGTCAGAGACATCGCTGCAGCGTTAAGACAAAATCATAAGTAATAAGCCACGCCCATTTTGAAAATTCAATGTAACTTGGTTATGTAGACGTTGGAGTTGTTGATAACTAATTAATATTAGGTTTTTGACCGCCGTACTCAGTCATTTCATTATATAAAACGATGATATATCGTACTGAAAATCCACAAAGTATGTTCACACAAAAATAGTCTCTAAACATTGGAAATAAGGTCTATAATTGAGTCAGTGGAGAGCGGTCATTGGTGACTTGGGGATTGGGTAGATGCCTAATTTTTATTTCAATGTCCGTCTGGTAGATTATTTTAAATCATTACGCACGTATTTTTTATTTTCTTACACAAACGAATACTTTCGACGATATATTGATTTGAAATGTCGCGTGACGTCACTTCTATGTACATTTTATACGTAGAAATGACGTTTTAGCCCCCACTCCAAAACTTTGATTCGTTTTATCTAAGTATTGTTTTATTATACGACAAAATAAAAAAATACGTGTCTAATACTTTTTCGTTACCTAACTGACGGACTAATTAGATTTTTAATTTTCATACCCTGTCATCATCCCTATTGAGCAGTGAATCCATATCATATTTTGAAGGGCGACAATATACGAGTAACTTGTCTAGTGTCATGGGCTTCC